GTCTGCAAACAATCCTCAGCACCTCTGTTGGCTTCAGTCCTGTTGTCCCGCTGCACGGAGAGCGAGCAGCTCCGAGGTGGATCGTATGTTTGCTCGTGACCCTGGAGAACACATTCAGGTGGCTGTCGTGTGGGAGTTGGAGGGATTAATTATGTAATAAATGTAGGTGGGCAGTGACTCGTACAAGAGAAGAGAAAGGTTGATTCTTTTAGTAAGATGGCCGACCTGAACCCCCGAGGCGATGTTAACAAGAAAGTCTTGGTATTTGAGTAACCATTACACGCCATTTCAAGAAAAATTGTCACTCACTCAGAAATAAAACATTTCTCAAAAGGTCATCCTGTACATACACGGGTTTAAATGACTTTTATCTCTGGGTTTTGATTAATTCTCCGATCCCTCTGGCTGGTGTACAGTTTTCTCTTTCTTTAAATACCTTAGAGGCACCTGGAGAAAGAGGAAAACTAGGCCTAATTTGTCTCCTGCCAACTTACCAGGAGCAACTGCCAGATCTCGATGACCTTAAAAGCAATCCTCTGCCATTCATCATTTTTATTAAGAACAATTGGCCCGGTCTGACTCTGTGGGATGCGGAGACTTACGGGTGGCTCGGACTGTTCCCGAGCACTCGCAGCATCTACGAGTGCTCATAATAGACCCCTCAACTAACATTTACATTTTAAGGACTCGTTTTATGGTGTCAGCTTACAAGCTTGTAACCAGTCAGAGTTTTGTTTTCTCACTCACCAGGAGCATCGCCTGCATCATGTTTACCAGAAAGCACCGTTTCTGTTGAAGGGATTTTTCTGCTTATTTCAACCCTGTCTCAAAAAAACCTCATCCCTGTACAGCTGATCTGCACTGTTACGAATACTTTGAAAGAAACGTACTTTCTCTCCTAAAGCTGTGGCTGTGATGGTCAGAAACGCCTCCCAATGGAAACGTGTGCAGCAGGACGTATGAGGAAAATTCATTCATAGGGTTAAGTTTTGCTTTCACTTCCTGATCAGTTAGGTTTAGGCAACAAAACTAGTTGGTTAGGTTAAGAAAAATATGATAGTTTGGGTGAAAGTTCGACCCTCTTTTAACCCTTTCAGAGCTACAGCCGGTGTACCGGTCTGCCCCGTTCACCCCGTCCACCCTGCAGCTCGGTGTAGCGGCTCCGCTATACGGCCACTTTCTGTTTCATTCAGTTTGATTGTCTGTCAGTGAACAAGCAATTCAGTCGTGAAACAAATTATGCAAATACTACTACTACTACTGGTACTACTACTGCTACTAATAATAACAATAATAATAATAATAATAATTGCATACAGGGCTCTTGCTTGTGTCATAACAGAGTAACGACCCGTTACGCTGCACATTGGGCCGATACGTTGGTTTTGAGGGTACGTAACGAGAAAATATTTAACAACAAGCGCCAATGGAGTTTCTCTGCTGTCGTCGTTGCTGCTAATGCTGCTATTTGCTAACGTATTTGCCGCTAACTGTCAGCAGCATTCACTAAGACCCCCCCCTCCCGGGACAAGGACGAGGATGAGGACGACCCCTGTTGTCCCGTCCCACCCCGTCAGTGTCCCCCGTCGACGACCCTTCCCCCCGGTACGCTGTAAAGGACTCCTGGCGAGGACTCTGACATAGTTACTTCGGGTTGAAAGGGTTAAAGCTTCTGTTGTATTTCCTGGGTTTCCACGGTGACAAGTCCCTCCCTATCTAAAGTGCATTTTTATGCAGACGACACCATGCAGTTGCCTCTTCTCTGAGCAAAGCCGTTGATGAGCTCCAGAGTGTTTTCCAACGGTTGCAGGCCTCGTTGCATTATATCAACATTCTTCTATCAACGTCCCACAGAGAAAGCAGCACTGGTGTGTTTATATGTACAAAGCAGTTGTGGGTAAACTGCCTTCACACTCTGTTTCTCACCAGCAGCTACTTCAGAGGTACATTTAAATGGCCGCCATGCAGCGCATCAAGGATTCTTTGCGCTCAACCTGGTCGTCTGGCCCTCCCCTGGTTTGCACCCTGCTCATGGAGCAACCTTCAGAACACATAGTTCGAAGCTCTGATCAAAAGATGCGTAACAGCAGAGTGCAGCTGCTTTCCCAGGTCTCGCTTAAAAAAGAGGTTTAATCACAGTGGGACTGCTGGTTAGATAAAGATTCAGCAAAAAAAGTAATCTGGCATAAAATTTGTTTTCCTCCACGTGTAAACTGAGAATGCATTTTAGTTTTATAGGATACAGGTTTGACTTTGTTACAACAAGTCATGTTAACTCCACCTGTGCTTTCATGTCAGTTTAAGATGATGCACTGTTCTCTGGGTTAAAAAAATGATGCAACATGAATTCCTTGTAGGGTTANCACACACACACACACACACACACACACACACACACACACACGGGCTCCGACACTCTTTTATCTTAACAGAGCTCCTTTAGAATGACTGGCACTCGGCTGTCTTGTGGGACATATGGCTCAGTGTGACCTGCCAGCGTCCTTCACTGTTGCTGGCGTGGCACCAAAGCCCCCCCAGGCTGCACTATCCTGCACTGCTCTCTGCAGTTAGTACCACCTTCTGACACCGACTCTCTGTATTCACACGAGCTCTTTTATGTCCCGACGTTGCAGTCGCTAGTCTCAGTAGGACGCTCTCAAAAGCACACACGTATTGTGTCGGAACACAAACAAGGCTGCACAGAATCCTTGATTTAGTGTCAGTAAGTATACATAGAGGACAGCGGCTGTAATTCACATTCAAAGGACTACAACCAATCAGCCACAACACTGAAACCACTGACAGGTGAGCAGAATAACATTGATTATCTTGTTACGGCGGCGCCTGTCACGGGCTGAGATGTATGAGGGAGCAAGTGAGCAGTCAGCTCTTGAAGTTGATGAGTTGGAAGCAGGGAAAAAGGATATGAGCCACTTTGACAAGGACCAAACTGGGACAACTCTCCAAAACAGCAGGAGTTCCAGGTGTGAAGGGGTTCTGCCAAAGAAGGACATCCAGTGAAGTGCCCAGGAGTTATATTGGGCTGGTCCATTGAGTCTGATCCCACAGAAGATCCAGGACATGTCAAGGGGCTGCGTAGAGCGACCATACTGACCCCTGTCCAGCACAGAGAGCATCCACAGTGACCATGTGAGCATCAGAACTGAACCCTGGAGGAATGGAGGAGGGTGGCCTGGTGGACGGCTGGCTGTAGGATGCACTGTGTGGAGGTGGAGCTCTGACCATCGTTCTTCTTGGCAACCTTGAGTGCTGCATTCATGTAGATGTTCCCGTGACATGCAGCACCTGCCGAAGCCATGTACAGCCCTTCATCCATGTTGCCAAACTGCACTGCAAAAGTCGTCCTGGGATGGTTTGAGGAACATGACAAAGAGTTCAAGGCGTTGACTTGGTCTCCAAATTCCCAAGATTTCCATCGGGTTTAGCACTTGTGGGATTTTCCTGAATCTGATGCTAACTGGGCTTCTGCACCTCCTGCAGCTTTAAATCTATTGTCAGGCACTTGTTAAAGCTGCAGTCGTGGATGTTTTGGGTGCAGAAGAACGTCCACTAAATACGCGTTCTGCAGCCACTTTATCAAAGCACATCGAGCCCCGTGTGCAACAGCTCGGCTTTAAATTCAGCTTTTACAAACGTAGTAACGATGGGTTTATTTAGCTATATGGTTGTTGTTGGGACTGAGATGTGATGTTAGAAACACATTTCAGTCCATTACAACTCTATGCCTACAGCTTATAGAGCAACTGACAGCTTTTGGGAAGCTTTAACAAAGAATTGTCCATCATAAGCCTCATAGTGACAGAATGTGATCCTGAGCTGTTGAATCACGTTGCACTCCTCCGATGAATCTAATCATGTAATCAACGGTCTTCGTTATCAACATTTTAGGTTGTGTTTGTCCCATATCTACCTTAGTTCTAGCTTTGCTTCTGTCTCCACCAGCTCTTCAGCTTGTTATTGGGCTGCGCCGTTTGGTGATGAGCGAGTGGGGTGAAGTGAGTTTACTTGGACTTATTTGCTGCACACAAATAAATGAAGCCGGTTTTTACCAGCAGGCCATAAAACTAATCAGCTAAATGAGGCTAAAACACCACATAGTCCCAGTTTATTGAGTCCACCAAGCTAAAACTAATGCAGCTTATTAGGACGGGCCGGCTTCAGCCTACCGCTGCACCACAGCGTGCTGTTTTCAGAGGAAATTCATCACCAATGTCTGTAGTCACTTTTTATTTCTTTGCTTATTTCTTAGTGTTCTGGGGCCCAAAGCCAACAAGCTTTGGTGTTGAGCCAAGATTTATAGGTCTGTACTGTACAGTATCCGCCGTGTCTTTCTGAGTGTGGCTGCGATGTTTCCGAAGGACCAGTGTTTCTGATTAGTGCGGCACATTCGCCCATTTATTTTCCCTCAAGTCTCACTTTTATGAATTCAGGGACTGTGGGGCCAAATGTGGCGCCACTGTGAAATGTGCTTTATTTTTATATATATATAGCTTTCTTTTCTTTTTGCTTCCAGTTTTCAGTTCCTCCGGATGCATCACACAGCTACAGAGAATATACTGCTTTTTTAAAAAGTGCTGAATGATGAGCTAACACTGTTCAGATGCAGCCGGTAGCCTGTGGATCTGAACCCACATTAACCTTAAAGACATTTCTTGGGTGAATTTGGTCCAGTTGATTGCTTTAGCAGAGCTGTGTGAGTTCATTCATGATTTTGGAAACTCTCTGTGGCCTATAATACGTCTATTCTGCATGTGGCACTCCAGAAATTTTAATTTGAACCTTTTAATTTCCCCTGCTCTCATAGAACCGTTTTCTGGCTACAGAAATCAACATTTGCTCGTCTAACGTCCCTCAAATCCAATAACGAAGGACAAAGAGTTTGTTGCTGCATTTGTGTGTTGATGTTCAGTCCAGAACTTCGGGTTCTGGTACTGCAGGTCCGTGCGTCTGTGTGCTGACCTTGTGTTCTCCCCGTGCAGGTTCACCCTTTGCTGATGCGCGAGAGGCGCTCAGAGTCTCACAGGAACAAGCTACTGCGGCGGACAGTCAGCGTTCCTGTGGAGGGACGGCACCATCCCGAGATGGGTGAGCAGCTTCTACATTCAACTGTTCACACTGAGAGCTTGATCGAGGTCCAGTCGACGGTTATTTTGCATTTCTTTTCTTGGTTCCTAATGAAGGTTTTGTTTCGTTCCATACTGATCCTAAAGAGATCTGTTTCTGATGTAATTTTACTGGAAATGATGGAGATAAAAAAAACAGAACATGTCAGACGTTTAGACAGAACCAGTGGGCGTCCTCCACACTGAGTCTCTTTAGTAGAAACTTTCCTCTTGTGTTGCAGTCAAAGGTAAGTTTGAAACA